GTCTGGTGACACAGGACATGGAAAAAGATAAGGTATTCAACATCATCTTTGCCTCAGTCTTTACTAGCGAGACCAGCTTTCATGTATCCCAGGTCCTAGAGACCAGAGGAAAAGCCTGGATCAAGGATAATGTATCCCTCGTGGAAAAGGTCCAGGCCAGGGAATAATTAAACAAACTGGACATACATAAGTCCATGAGCCCTGATGGGATGAACTCATGAGCACTGAGGGAGATGGCTGATGTCACTGCAAGGCCACTCTCAAGAACCTTTGAATGATCATGGAGATTAGGAAAAGTGTCTAAGGACTGGAGGAAAGCCATGTCACTCCTATCTTCAAGAATGGCAAGCAGGACCCAGAGAACTGCAGGCTAGTTAGCCTCACCTTGATTTGTGGAAAGGTGATGGAGCAGCTAATCCTAGAAACTATTTCCAGGCACATGAAGGACAAAAAGTCAGGAGTAGTCAGCACAAATTCAACAAGTGCAAGTCATGATTGGCCAACTTGAGAACTACAATTAAATGTCTAGTCTGGTAGATGAGGGGAGAGCAGTGGATATTGTCTATTACAGTGGATATTCTGCAAGTCTTCTGGCCCTGCCTCTTGTAACATCCTCATAGAGAAGCTGCTGATGTGTGGGCTTGATAAACAAACAGAGATGGACCAAACACCAGCTGAGCAGCCAGGTCCAGGGAGTGGTGATCAATGGCATGAAGTCTAGTCGGAGGACAGTAAACAGTGGTGTACTCAGGGGTCACTACTGGGTTCAATCCTGTTTAACATCTTCATTAATGATTTCAAAGATGGGGCAGATTGTGCACTCACCAAATTTGTAGACAACACCAAACTGGAAGGAGTGGCTGATATACCAGAGGGTCATGCAGCTATCCAGGAGGATCTTGACAGACTGGAGAAATGGGTTGACTGGAACCTCATGCAGTTCACAAGGGGAAGTGCAAAGTGCAAAGTCCTGCACCTGGGGAGGAACAACACCAAGCACTAGAACATGTTGCAGCAGCCCAGCTGGAAAATGGCTTTGCAGAAAATGACCTGGGAGTCCTCGTGGGTGCCAAACTGAACATGAAACAGTAATGTGCCGTTGCAGCAAAGGTGGCCAATGGCATCCTTGGCTTCATTAAGGAGGAATGTTGCTAGCAGGTCAAGGGAGGTAATCCTTCCCCTCTCCTAAGCACTGGTGAGGCCACACCTCAAATACTGTGTCCAGTTCTGAACTCCCCAGTACAAGAGAGCCATGGACATACAGGAGAGTCCAGCGAAGGGTCACTAAGATGATGAAGTAACTAGAATAGTTCTCCTATGAGGAATGGCTGAGAAAGCTGGAACTGTTTAGCCTAGTGAAGGCTTGGGGGGAATCTCTCAATGTGTAAATATATTTGAAGAAAGAGTGCAGAGTAGAAGGCAAGTTGTTCTCAATGGTGTCACTGAAGAACAAGACAAGAAGGCAATAGGCACAAACTAAAACACAGAAGGTTTCTCCTGAACATCAGGAGACAATTCTTCCCTGTGAGGGTGACTGAGCACTGGCACAGGATGCACAGAGAAACTGTACAATCTCTATCCTTCAAAATACTCAAAAGCCATTTGGACTTGGTCCTGGGCAACTGGCTGAGATGACCCTGCTTGAAAAGTGGGTTTCACCAGATGACCTCCAGAAGTCCCTCCCAACCTCAATCTTCAGTCAATCTGTGATTCAAACGTTAATCTGACGTATTTAAAAAAGCCAAGAAAAAAATTAGGACTCAAAAACTTCCACTGGATAAACTGAAGCCAGATCAGGCTGAAATCATTGCACTTAGGCCCAGACATTTGGAAGACAGATGTTAAGTCAATTTTATCTTTCATCCACCATCCTCAGTAAGAATTGGGCAAAGGAATAAATAATTACAAATTACATCATCACTTGACCAGGTTACATGACTGCAAGTGAAGAATAAGTTTCAAGTACCTAGTCAGTAAGAAACAAAAAAAGGCTGAAGACAAGTATTTCCTCTTGGACATATTTTAATTCCATTTCTAAGCATAAAATTGATATAAAAAACAAGGACTTTGTAAAAACAGTAGACAAACAGAAACTCAAAAGGGATGCTGCCTGTTTTCATTATGACTGCTTCAGAAGACAGTTATGTTGTTACAAGCTTTTTCTATATGGGCTTATGCTGTCTCTATACCTGAGGTACTCAAACTGCTGAAATAATGCAAGTTTTGGGCAAGCTTTACAACATTTATCCCGGTGAACGCTAAACTGCTGCATAGAATTAAAACATAGTTCATGCATCTCCAGGCCACCTTTTTAGAGGGATACATGCTTAATTTTTTTTAAAAAGCAACATTACTAAGCATACTGTTAAATGTTTCAGTAGTTGAAAGGGACAAGAGAGGAGACACCCCACCATATTAGTTAAAACACCTTCCAGCTCAGCATGATGGCTGTTGAGAATTCTATCTTCTTTGAGCATAAAGTCCAGACACATCTTGAACTACTGACCTAAAAAGCATCAGTCATAACCATATTTAATCCAGAGTTCTTCATTTAGTTGGTTTTATTACCTAGCACCATTTTTATCTTTTGAAAAAAGTACACATTAGTCTATTTAATTTTAATTATATTACTTTTTAATTTAGCATTATTTTCAGTGGCCAGCTCTATTACAATTCTCTACCTACTTAAAAACACCACAAGTAACAAAGTATGTAATTTCTCTATTTACAATTTGTCTATTAAAAAAAAAATCCTTTATCTTATGCAACAATCTTTTGGGTGTCATGTTATTAGTAACTTATTTTATCTGATTTATGCAAAGAAACTACATCTCTGAGTAGCGAGTCCTTGCAGTATTTCTTACTGAAATATCACAAAGGTTTTTAATCCATATGTGAATGCCTTCTCGTAATGGCTTATCCATTACGGCAGACTATAATGACTTATAATTTATTCAATGAATCCTCTTTTGCCTTCATTCTTTTAATTGATTTCTATCCAAATGCTGCATCTCAACCATATTAGCTCTTACTTCTTTATAGTCTCTCATTTCATTCTCATATATCCACTGAAAAGACAAGCATGGAAAAAGTAAGGTCCAAATCTGTGGGTTTAAGTTAACATTTATGAACAACATTTACAAGCTATTTTAAAATTTAAAATATAATTAAAAAACAATGCTCCAAATATTCTACACAGAATTTCTTGGTCTTTATAAAAAAATCTAGAAGAAAATAAATTAATTGATCTTTCAAAATACATCAGGCTTGACAAAGTATTAAATAGTAAAACTGTATTCAGATACAGTAATTTATATCAGCTCATTAACATGGTGTTACAGGAATTCTGCTCAAGTCAAAGTCTTAGATTCCATAACTGAAATGTGGGTCAGATTTTCAGGATGAGAAACTATATACAAAAGCAATATTAAAGTGATTTAATTATGATGTTGGATAACTTGCTGAGCACAAAGTACTAATGCAATGACATGAAGAACATTAGAGCCCTCTCTCCCTGTGCAAGGCAAGGAAAGAGTGAGTAGGGGAACAGCATTAAGAATATTCCCTGCTATATTTCTTACTTAAGTACATCCATATAACTTAAAAAGAAAATTATCAAAAAGCAGTTTAGCTACTACTGCCTACCATTAGGTAGGTAAGTACATTAGCTGATAGTAGGTACATGTTCTGACATTCTGCAAATATGAAGCAAAACATGAGAACCATTCAAGCAAACATATTTTACTTTCTGTAACAGGTTAACATATCCAAGAACTTAAGCCAATACATTTTATTTCAAAATTCACAACTCACATTTATTTCTAATGCACCTAAAAACAGCACATCACTTAATATGGTAACAGACTGCACAAGGAATAACCTGTTAACAGTCCAATAACTGGAAAATGTATGATCATAGGTCCACATGCTTTACTTTCCTGGACAGAAGTCTTAACATATATTAGGAACATGAACAGTTAGATACAGCCTTTTAAAAAAACCCACTTCCTCTGTAAAAGACATTACAAGTGGTGCCTATCCCTGAAGAGCTTAAAGGGATTATGAATGATACATCAGAGGTTACAATTGTTCTAATATGTGTACTTACTAATCGTAAATTCAGTTTCTCCTGCAGTAGAAGTACTTTCACTTCTTGAATGAGAAAGATGGAATTCAAATTTTAATCTCTGCTTTACAGAACTATGAATATTTATAGTCCTCTCACAAGACTCCCAAAACCAGTACAGATCACAAACTTCACATAGTATTCTCAATGCTCCTGAAACACTCATTAAAACTGAACATATAAGAGTCCATGAACTCACAAGCATCACCAGAAGACAAAATAAACTCAACTTCAACTGTTTGACTTAAAAAACTTCAACCTCTCCATTCTAACCAGTCAATATGGCATATGTTCCTCTTTTCTGATTAAAGTGCCTATACAAACTGGAGACACACAAGAATGCTGAAATACAGAAATGGCATTCAAAAGGGAACACAACACCTGAGATTTTTAAAATTATTTGGTCATGAATATTCTTTACCTCCCCATAAAGACCCATATACACATATATCCCCAAAATGTAGAACTTACTATATTTAAATCAAGGTTATCCACCATTTCCAGTTTAATTGTTGTCAGTTTTAGAACAATCTGGGAAAACTGAAAGAGACTCTGAATTTTTTTCCAAATAGCTTCTGGCAGTACTGGACAATAATTTAACTATAGTTTTTTGTTTGGGTTTTCTTAAGAATTTTTAATCTTTCTGAAATGTTGGCTCTTCATAATCACTATTCAATTTCTAAACAGTTTAAAAAGGGTAAAAAGAAACAGTTTCATAACATCTGTTAAACACAACTACCACCTGAACAATTTTATTGGGTCTTAGATTAGGAGTTTGGTACCAAGCTTTTACCAGTACTCAGATATTTTCAGAATTAAAAGGTAATGACAGCTAGGACTCCAGTAAAACAAGAGAGAAAGATGTACTGCTTACCTGTACACCTGAACCATGATTTCTGCTTTTTGAAGCAAACAAACAGTCCTCAGAATCAACAGCAGGCAAAACTGAAGCAGAAGGAAAGAGCTCAGAGATGGATCCTTGACTGAAGTTTATAGCCTCTGGATTTTTTTGACCATCCTTTACTGATTCACTCAAATTGATCACAGAATCTCGTATGTTTGAAATAATCTCATTGTTTTCTGCTAAGAGGCGTTCTAAATGATCTATTTTTTCTTGCAATATTGAAAGCTGGCCCTGTAAGGAAAAAAAGTGAAGTCTAATTATTTCTCAGACCAATGCTTGACAGAATTAAAAAATTATCAATTTAACAATAGTGTACGATCATGCAAACAAAAAAAATCAAATAAATCTTTGTTCTCCATTTTATGTAAAGACAAACTAATAAGAAATTAAGCCAACATATGAAACTACATATGAAACCCTCTCCTTTCAGAATAAGGGAAAAGAGCAAAAGTTGCTTTTTCCACCATGAACTTCAATTTGCAGCACAAGATTTAATCAGTGATACAAAGATATTCTTAAAAGGTCATTCTGTTTCAAGTACCAATTATGCCACCTTCAACTTCTTCATGTCTTTCACAGATGTGCAAAAATCTGATGTTTTCATTTATCATCACATCAGAACATCAAAGAGAAGGCAGTCACATCACAATGGGATTAACAGGGTATATACATTTTAGGTTTCTCCTGTATGTGTAAAATAGTATATCAATAAATACTGAGTTTCTTATTCTCAGTGAAATTTAGAGAGAAATGAACAAAAGTGCTTAAGTGTAAAATATTCCTTAACAGCCTGGTCATAATAATAATCCGTATAATCAGACCATTACAAACAAAGATATGCCATAAAAGACAGCTCAAACTGACATCACTTTCAGTTGGGTCATATTCAGTTGCCAAACAACAAGATTTTGTAGATGATTCTGGTGTGCACCATAAGAGGAAAGATAGAGAATAACATCACTGTGTTTCAAAAGAAGTCAATGCATCTCCCAAAGCAACTTAGAAGGAGATACAGATACCACAAAGCAATTTAATATCATCTAATCACTATATTGTTGGAACACAGGAGGGAGCATAGCAGAACAAGATACTTGGAAATGCTACTGCCCTCTTATGTGCTAGCCACTCCTTCCAAATGCTTTTTTTTTCAGCCATGAACGTATTAGCTTTTACAGAATCACAAAAGGACAGATTATTTAACATGGGTTTAGGAATATTTTGTTTTAACAGTGATTTCTTTCTTTCTTCAGACTGACTTCAACCTAACAATAATAAGAAAAGATAAAGAACAAAAAGCCAGTCACTTCCTATTATTAAAGTTGTGATCAGACCCCAAAATACACAATGCATGATTAAATTTTTTTTCAAGAAGCTGTCATTACAACAAGACAGACTGCAGATTCAGGCATTTACATTTTACCAATTACATTTAACACAAATAACACTGATTCAGTAGACAGCTACTCTGTGACCTATGATATCAAGGACAAGTGAAACTGTCCTAAAACCAATTTCTTATTTTCTAAGTAAAGCAGACTAATATTGGAAACAACATCTGTATATGACACCTTTTTTCCCTTTGACAATAATTCACTTGAGGTCTTTCCATTTTCTTTTTAAGGGACAAATTGTTTTCTTCAAATGCCAAGTTAATTCCAACTTCTGTAGTTAGGCTGTTTGTAAAGTGTTAAGCCTCCATTATATATCATGATGCGCACTTTCTTTTAAATTCTGTTCACTTCAAGAAGTCTGCAGGAATGAAGAAAACACCCCTCACCAAGAGATACCAATCAGCATTTTGGGTTCTACTAAATTGTCATTCTTATAGTTCTATCTTTATGGAAGTTCTTTGTAATTCTGCAGAAGGTAAGTTTTAGAAATTTTTAAGCTGATGGTAAGACTGTCTCCTCATTTTCTGGGCTAAGTAAAGTTCTGACCCACTGCTTTGCTTTTTTTCTTAGATTGATACATCCTGAAAACAGTAACAGGTTTTAAAATGCAGCACAGACAAATGACTTACTGTTTCCCAAAAGGCAAAAAAATATTTTGACAACAGATCCAGATTAAGCTAATAGAGATGTGGGAACAACATCCTAGAATCTCAACAGTTCAAACACAAATACTAAGAATTTATAAAACAGATTAAGTGAAACAACAGGAAATAAATATGCAGATAACGGGATACTGTAGGGTTAAAAACCAAACTGTAGTCCCATGCCCCCTGGTGGCAACATGAGAAACAACTTGACTAAAATCTCAAATGCTACATTAAAGATAGCATGTACACATTTCTGTGTAAAATTGGTATTTCCTCTTTCAATATCTGTGATACTTTAAACGAAAGGTTTCTCCACTCAGAAAACTAATAGCCTATTATGCCACTCACTCTAAAAAATAACATGAAGTAATACTGATTGAGGTTTTACAGGCTGCCCAACATAAGCTCTGATCTCTAGATTCCGAAGCAGATAAAGTATAGCTGCCATCTATACAAATTACCACCTGCCTCACTGCACATGACTATAGTTCACCAAATGTTACCAAGTGTGTAAGCAGCTAAAAATGCTGTTTGCACCTATCCCTCCACTATATATGCTGCCTCTACAACTGTAAAATCAGACACTTAAAAATGTATATTCTCATTCACTTATGTTCTAGAAATATTTTACCTCTTCCTTCAAGAAAAGGGTTTTATATTGCTTAGCAATAACCTGAAAACTAGCTGGTCATAGATTACACCACGAATCTGCCTTATGTCATCTAGCCAAATACAGTCTCCAGCACTGGCCAATATCACAACACAAAGGAAAAAAAAAAAAAAAAACACCTCACAACACACCCAAAACACCAAAAAGCACACAAAAATATCAAGTACATATTTAGACCAATCCTTCTGGTGGCATATACTGCCAATCTCTAGCAGTCAGAATTAAACTTCCAATTTGGAGGTTATGTCATATTTCATATCTCTAAGATGGACTTTCCTTTGACTTACTATACTTTAAACCTTCAAATATCTACAATAAGAAGTTCTACCATTTTGCTGTTTATTATGTGACAACACCCTTTGCTCATCTTTAAACAATTATTTCAGAGGTTGCTATATACTTCCAGCAATTCAGGATGAAAGTTTTAAGTCTATTTAGAACTCTGAAGAGCAGTGAATTTTAGAAGTCCATTTAAGTATGTCACTTTAATTTTGGAAGGAGATATCCTGCTACTTGGAAAAAGAAATCCTTACAAAGACCTACCACTGTGGAACTTAACAGAGAACATGAATAAAGACAACCCTGCTTTCTTTTATGAAGACTATGAGACGAATCATGCCTCTCTTAAAGCATTTAAACATGTCATGTGCTAACTCAACTTGAATGCAAAATATAAAATAAGAAGTTATAGGTAAGAACTATGACCTCATGCAGTACCCAAATTAAAACTGACAGGCAACCAAATCTTTACAGATTTTTAAAATGTTTTCAACTTCTTCAATTCAACTTCAACTTCAATTGTGAAATGCATCAGTCATGAGAGTTAACTTTAACAAACAAGTGTTACAGAGTAGAAATGGATCCCAGTTTTCATTCAGTATGAAAATAGTTAATGTCAAAAATCCATTCTCAAGTTGAAAATTACACATGGATCCAAATTATGCAAAATATATCTCATTTCATTGCACATTCACCTTTCCTCCTTACTCATTTTAAATAGACAATACCTAGAACATAGTATTCAATAATAAAAATACTTTAAAATGAGCTAAACACATAAAATATTGCAACTCTTCAAAACAATAAAATTAACATGAAAATAAATTAAATTGTTTCAACATTTTAGAGGAAGACAACTGGCTTGCACTGTCCAACTTCAATTGTCACAGTCAAACTACAAAACAGTTAAGTTACTCTGTTTCAACTTATTGATTGCTAGTAACAGATGTTGACTTACTAGTAAAACAGATTACAAGCATGTTACAGGGGCATTAAATAGGTCTAATTAAAATAAACCAGACAGGTCCTCTCCACTACTAAAAACATACTCTAACAGTATTTTATTAATTTAAAAGGTTTTAAAGTTTTTCAAACATCGAGTGAGGCAATTTTTTTGCTTTAATATGAGCAGACACGCACCAATTTTACGTTAACCAATTCTGCATTAAATTTTGTAGACACTGCATAGCAAAATTTGGCTAGCTGCACAATTCATAAATGTCAGCAGATCTCCCTCTTACTTTATGGCATGAAGTCTTCTCAAAAAAAGCAATCCTAATGCAAGACTCTAAGTCTTGCCTTTCCAATCACAGAAAACTGGAGGTACACTGTCTGGATAAGTACATCTTGGACCAAATGAACATCATTAAAGGATGCTCTGTTAATCTACATGGTTGTTTTAAAATAAGGAAATGCAATGTAAATTTATGTGAATCACCTGTCCTATAAAAAAAAAGCAGTTAATAAGTTTATAAAAACTGCACTGTAAACTTTTCTTTCATTTCTCTCTTCTTTTATATATATTTTTAAGAATGTGCAAATGAAGATTTTATTAAGAGGCAAGAAAGGCAACCCTGTTGTTACTGTACAGTAAAGGAATTAGTTCTACAAGAAGTGCAAATCAAATGATACTGAAAGTAGCTACAGCTGCATTGGTAGAAGAATAGCATCACATGAGCAGTGCATCTGTTCACCATCCCCATGGTTACATAGGGTTGGACTTAACCAACAAAATCTTCCCATGTGAGCACAGCACAGATCAGCACACCCTCCTCCCACTTGGAACAAAAACTGTCCATGCCTGCTAGCTGCACTGAGAAACCCACTACATAAACAGTTCCTTATGCTTCAGTCAGTCTGAATCCTTCAGCAGTTTTCATGCTTCAGATACTCCAGAGCAGTCTGCTTTCGCACTGCCCTCTGCTTGTCCTCTGCTAGCTTCTGACACCACTCTGATCTCAAGCAAGAACTCTCTACAGAAACTGGCATACTGCCACCCAGCACAAGGAGGGAAGACCAGTAACACAAGGAAAGATCAAGCTGTTTTACTCTGGGGAAGTGGAGAATTAACAGTTTCTCCGATCTAAGCACTGTATATTGCAGAAAGCATGTCAGTTACAACTTTCATTTCCTCAGTGAACATTCATCCCTTCTCTAAATGCAATGAGTTTCAACAGGCCACTAACGATCATTTCATCAGGAAAAAAAGACAGCTAGCTCAAATAATTGAAGTGGGAGTATGAC